TTGCTCCCTCCTCCTCCCTGTGGCTTCCTCTCACATAGGAAAGAAAGCCCGACTGCTCACTGGAGGGAAGGAGACGAGAGGGAAAGCGGAAGTCCTTTGAATGCCACATCATGAGGAGACAGCAAAGCCTAGAGAAGGGAATGATGCTGGGGAAAGTGGAAGGCAAAAGGAAGAGGGGCCGACCAAGGGCAAGATGGATGGATGGCATCCTTGAAGTGACTGGACTGACCTTGAAGGAGCTGGGGGTGGTGACGGCCGACAGGGAGCTCTGGCATGGGCTGGTCCATGAGGTCACCTAGAGAAGACAATGATGCGGAAATGTAAGGAAAAAGGAAGAGGGGCCAACCAAGGGCAAGATGGATGGATGGCATCCTTGAAGTAACTGCTGACCTCGAAGGAGCTGGGGGTGGTGACGGCTGACAGGGAGCTCTGGCGTGGGCTGGTCCATGAGAGAGCTTAGAGAAGATAATGATGCTGGGGAAAAATGGAAGGAAAAGGAAAGAGGTCCAACCAAGGGCAAGATGGATGGGTGGCATCCTTGAAGTGATTGGCTTGACTTGAAGGAGCTGGGGGTGGTGACGGCCGACAGGGAGCTCTGGCGTGGGCTGGTCCATGAGGTCAAGAAGAGTCGGAGACGACTGAACGAATGAACAACAACAACATTCCCTGTCTGCTCTCATCCTCCTCTTCTTCAGGCTAAACATGCCCTGCAGCTCCTTCAGCCGCTCCTCATGGGGCTTGTTCTGCAGACCCTGGATCCTTTGAGTCTCCCTCTTCCTCTGGACACAGTATTCAGCTTAGAGTCAATATCTCTCTTGAGTTGTGGTGCCCAGAACTGGACACAATGTGATTCCAGGTGTGGTGGTCTAACCAAAGCGGAATAGAGCGTGGGGAGCAGGACTTCTCAGGACTCGGCGGACCCAGGTCGAGGCTGACGAGCCTCTCGGGGGAGCTGCACCTGCGGGGAGGCCTTGGAGGACCGCTCCCTCCGCCCCGCACGACTCTATGGCACGGCTCTATGGCACGGCTCCTTCCCCCGGCCTCGGAATCCCATAGAGTCGCCCGGAAGGGATTCCTGGAGCGGAAGCCTTCCCTCCCTCGGGGACGCGCTCTCCTTTCCACAACCACCCTGCGAGCAGCGAGTGCCAAGACTGACCGACTGGCAGGCCTCCTTCCCGCCCTCCTTCCCACTTCCGTCCAATCCGTGCGCAGCTGGGCCTGCAGCAGCCAATCCGTGCCCGACACGAGAGTGGATTCAAAAAGGCCCAATCGGCAGGCAGGAGGCGAACCCAAGGGCCCAATCAGAGCGGGCCCCGCTCCCTGCCCCGCCTCTCCTCGCGGGGCAGCCAATAGGAGGGCTCGGGGGGCGGGGTTTGGAGGCTCCTTCCTGGGATGAGGATGGTAAGGGCGGGCGGGGAGGGGCTCGGGTGTTGTTTTCCTTCCGGTTATAGTCGGGTTATGTTGTTGTTTGTATTGTCGAAGGCTTTCATGGCTGGAATCACTAGGTTCTTGTGGGTTTTTTCGGGCTATATGGCCATGTTCTAGAGGCATTTTCTCCTGACGTTTCGCCTGCATCTATGGCAAGCATCCTCAGAGGTAGTGAGGTCTGTTGGAATTAGGAAAATGGGTTTATATATCTGTGGAATGGCTAGGGTGGGGCAAAGAGCTCTTCTCTGCTGGAGCTAGGTGGGAATGTTTCAACTGACCACCTTCATTAGCATTTGAAGGCCTGGCTGAGCCTGGGAAAATCTTTTGTTGAGAGGTGTTAAGATGTGCCTGGTTGTTTCCTCTCTGCTGTTTTGCTGTTGTAATTTTAGAGTTTTTTAATACTGGTAGCCAGATTTTGTTCAGGGAGATATACAGCCTACAGCTTGGCCGAGGATCATACAGCCTTACAGCTCCTTTGCTGAGGGACTTCAGCCAGCCATCACCTAAACCTGAACTCCTTCTTTTCCCCTGGAAGTCTACAAAGCTCTGCTTGGTAAGGGTCGCTCGCGGAAGCCAGACGCAGTTGGTACCGGGTGCAGGGGCTCCACGCCAACAGAGGCAAAGACAGACTGCCCAGATTAGAAGTTAAGCATTTCCCCATTAGTTAGTATACAGTTATGAAGATAGTGCCTGTTCCCAGTGAACAAGATTGCAAGAGCCAATAGACTGTTAAGAAAGCATTAAAGTACCTGTTTGTTTTCATCAATAAAGAACTTTGTTGAACCTTTAAGCCTCTACAGAACTTTGTGTAAGGAAATCCAAGGGCCTTTAATCTGAGGCAGCCCCAGCGTCCAGTTGGGCACACAGAATTTATGTCCTGTCTACAGTTTTATGCATAGGCCCAGCATGCGACAGTACAGAAGGTGTTGATTCATTCAGTTGCTTCCGACTCTCCTTGGTGACCTCCTGGACCAGGCCACGCCAGAGCTCCCTGTCGGCCGTGGCCACCCCCAGGGTCTCCTTCAAGGGCGTGCCAGTCACTTCAAGGATGCTGTCCATCCCTCTAGAGGATGAGAGCTGGGTCCGGCTGTGAATCAGGGAAGGGCCCACGTGGCCCAGCCAGAAAGGAGGGCAGGGTCAGCATAAGGCTGAGCCTAAGGATGGGGGTCTCTCCACTCAAGAACTCTTCCAGGCCTTCTCTCTCTGTGTGTTCCATCCTGCGTTGCGCAAACAGCAGCGTCGGGCTCGGAGCTGCTTCGAGGCTCAGCTCTCAGACTATGTCACCCACCCGCCTTGCCCTTGGTCGGCCCCTCTTCCTTCTTCCCTCTCCCTAGCATCCTTCCCTTCTCCAAGCTTTCCTGTCTTCTCCTGATGTGGCCAAAGGACTTCATCTTTGCTTCTAATATCCTTCCCTCCAATGAGCAGTCAGGCTTTCCTTCCTCCAGGATGGACAGGTGGGGTCTTCTCACGCACTTCCCTCCAGCCCCACAGTTCCAAAGCCTCTCTTCCTTCGCTCAGCTTTCCTTCTGGTCCAGCTCTCACATCCTTAGGTGACTACGGGGAAGACCATGGCTTTAACTATGCGGATCTTCGTTGCCAGTGGGATGCCTCTGCTCTTCGCCCTTTTATCGAGATTGGCCATTGCTCTCCTCCCAAGAAGGAAGCGGGAGGCCATTCCCCTGGGCAGCAAGGCAGCCCCTCCCGCTGACCTTCAATTAATTGAGTTTGCAAACATTCCCCGATAATGTTTGCAAACTGCATTTGTTTCTAAGTGTTTGCAGACCGCTTCCTTAACAATCTTTTCCAGAATCTTGCCTGGTATCGACGTGAGGCTGACCGGACGGTAATTGTTTGGGTCATCCTTTTTTCCCTTCTTGAAGATTGGGACCACATTGGCCCTCCTCCAATCTGCTGGAACTTCTCCCGTTCTCCAAGAACTCTCAAAGATGATTGCCAATGGTTCCGAAAATGAGTTCAAGTCCCTAGGGCCAGATCAACTACACCCAAGAGTACTGAAGGAACTAGCGGAAGTCATTTCGGAACCATTGGCAATCATCTTTGAGAGTTCTTGGAGAACGGGAGAAGTTCCAGCAGATTGGAGGAGGGCCAATGTGGTCCCAATCTTCAAGAAGGGAAAAAAGGATGACCCAAACAATGACCAATGTCCGGTCAGCCTCACGTCGATACCAGGCAAGATTCTGGAAAAGATTGTTAAGGAAGCGGTCTGCAAACACTTAGAAACAAATGCGGTCATCGCTAATAGTCAACATGGATTTATCAAAAACAAGTCATGCCAGACTAATCTGATCTCTTTCTTCGATAGAGCTACAAGCTGGGTAGATGCGGGGAATGATGCCGTGGATGGAGCGTGTCTGGATTTCAGGAAGGCCTTCTTTGACAAGGTCCCCCATGACCTTCTGGCAAGGAAACTAGTCCAATGTGGGCGAGGCAAAACTACAGTGAGGTGGATCTGGAATTGGTTAAGTGGACGAACACAGAGAGTGCTCACCAATGCTTCCTCTTCATCTTGGAAAGAAGTGACAAGTGGAGTGCCGCAGGGTTCCGTCCTGGGCCCGGTCCTGTTCAACATCTTTATTAACGACTTAGATGAAGGGCTAGAAGGCAGGATCATCAAGTTTGCAGACGACACCAAATTGGGAGGGATAGCCAATAGTCCAGAGGACAGGAGCAGAATTCAAAACGATCTTGACAGATTAGAGAGATGGGCCAAAACTAACAAAATGAAGTTCAACAGTGACAAATGCAAGATACTCCACTTTGGCAGGAAAAACGAAATGCAAAGATACAGAATGGGGGACATTGCCTGGCTCGAGAGCAGTACGTGTGAAAAAGATCTTGGAGTCCTCGTGGACAACAAGTTAAACATGAGCCAACAATGTGATGTGGCGGCAAAAAAAGCCAATGGGATTTTGGCCTGCATCAAGAGGAGCATAGTGTCTAGATCTAGGGAAGTAATGCTACCCTCTATTCTGCTTTGGTTAGACCACACCTGGAATATTATGTCCAATTCTGGGCACCACAATTCAAGAGAGATATTGACAAGCTGGAATGTGTCCAGAGGAGGGCGACTAAAATGATCAAGGGTCTGGAGAACAAGCCCTATGAGGAGCGGCTTAAGGAGCTGGGCATGTTTAGCCTGAAGAAGAGAAGGCTGAGAGGAGATATGATAGCCATGTATAAATATGTGAGAGGAAGCCACAGGGAGGAGGAGGGAGCAAGCTTGTTTTCTGCTTCCCTGGAGACTAGGACGCAATGGAACAATGGCGTCAAACTACACGAGAGGAGATTCCATCTGAACATGAGGAAGAACTTCCTGACTGTGAGAGCCGTTCAGCAGTGGAACTCTCTGCCCCGGAGTGTGGTGGAGGCTCCTTTTTGGAAGCTTTTAAACAGAGGCTGGATGGCCATCTGTCAGGGGTGATTTGAATGCAATATTCCTGCTTCTTGGCAGAATGGGGTTGGACTGGATGGCCCAGGAGGTCTCTTCCAACTCTTTGATTCTAGGATTCTAGGAGGAGTCCTGCCCTCCAAGGAAAGGAAAGCCACGCTGCTTCAGCAAATAAAGAGCTTTATTATTTCCATTAGAGTGAACCTCAATTTAATGTTTCTTGTTTGCAGCTGCCACCTGAAAAGAGAAAAGAGGAGGAAAGCCTGTCTCAGAGATAGGAATGGACATGAGCCAAAGGCCAGGTGCCACCAGGAACTCTCCAGGCTCTGCCACGGTAGCCGCTCTGAGTCGCCTTAGGGCTGAGAAGAGCGATATACAAATAAAGTAAATAAATAAAGTAAATAAATAGCCTCAGCAGCGCTGGAGGGAGCCAAGAGCCGGCACAGACAAACTTCAGCCCTCGCTCCAGGTGATCTGGACTCCAACTCCCTCCATTCATAATTCCGGCTCTTGGACGTCCAAATCACCTGGAGGGAGGGCTGAGGGTGGCCCGTGCCCGCCCTGGGCCATTCGCCCAAAGACCACAACGGGCGCTCTGCTTCAGGCCTCTTCCCAAAGCCCGGAGGAAGCTGCCCTCCTGCAAAGCCACCCTTACCTGGGCTGCTGTTAAGTTGTCTGGGTTGCAACCTGGGTTGCTGTAAGTTGCCTGGCCATGTTCCAGAAACATTCTCTCCTGACGTCTCGCCTGCATCCATGGCAAGCTTCCTCAGAGGTTGTGAGGTCTAGGGTTCTATCATCGCGCTGGCACCACGAGATGCAGAGCCAACCTTCAGAAATGGGGCCACAAAGTGGAATCCTCGACATGCGAGTGCAGAGAAGAGCCAACCACTGACCACCTGCTGCAATGCAACCTCAGCCCTGCCACATGATGCACCATGGAGGACCTTCTTGCAGCAACACCAGAGGCACTCCAAGGGGACAGATACTGGTCAAAGGACATTTAATCAACTACCAAACTCACAATTTTGTATTTTTCTGGTTTTTTTGCTTTGTTCTGTTCGAAATGTAATATAATGTAATATAATCGACTGGTTGCACTGACACGATAAATAAAAATTTAAAAAATCATGATGACTTCACAACCTCTGAGGATGCCTGCCAAGGATGCAGGCGAAACTTCAGGAGAGAATGCTTCTAGAACATGCCCAGGCAACTTACAGCAACCCAGGTTGCAACCCAATGCCCAAACAACTTACCGCAGCCCAAGTAAGGGTGGCTCTGCAGGAGGGCAGCTTTCTCCATGCTTTGGAAAGAGGCCTGAAGCAGAACATGGCCAGACAACCCAAAAGATTCACAGCAACCCAGCGATTCCAGCCACGAAAGCCTTCGGCCACCCTTACCTGCCCAGCGATCCTGTCCAGATCCCTCTGCCCTTGAGGCGTCAGTTTGCGGCCACTGAAAGAAGAAACCAGGGAGAAGGTTAGCGTCTTGGAGGCTCCTGGGAAAGGACGGGAGGGGCCGGGCACGGGCCAAAGGGAGTCCTGGGCCCCTTCCTTCGGGGCTACAATAGCCAGGGCTATTACTAAAGAGATAGGAGCAACTACCAAGCTTGCAATCTTTATGGTTTGTTTGTTAAAAAATGCAATACAACTGTTTGGCTTGCTCCTGACACAATAGATAAATAAATAGGAGCAATGACGGATCTGCCCCATTCCCAGACTGCAGAATGGTCTGCTCCTGGGAGAGATTTGGCAACTAAGCCCAAGTAAGGCCGATCTTTTGGCTGACCAACTCTCAGTTTAAAAAGTTATTAGTATGCATGATTCTAATGTGTTGTGACCTTGATCCTAGAGCTGTGACTACACTGAACACTATGATTTCACAATGAAAAGATCAAAGGATGGGGTTTTGTTTCTGTAATCCTATATATGTATATAATGTGCATTGGGGGTGGCATTTAATTCTTTGTAAGAACACAATAACAAAGTTAATTCTATTCTAACCTCTCCCTACCTACCTATCAATTACTTCCTCTGTCTTCCTCTATCATCTACTTATTGATCCACCTCTCCATCCATCTACCAATACATTTCTCTTTCTCTCTCTGTTAACCTGTGTCTTTATCCATCCATCGAGCCACCGGTGGCACAGTGGGTTAAACCCCTGTGCCGGCAGGACTGAAGACCGACAGGTCGCAGGTTCAAATCCGGGGAGAGGCGGATGAGCTCCCTCTATCAGCTCCAGCTCCTCATGCGGGGACATGAGAGAAGCCTCCCACAAGGATGATAAAAACATCAAATCATCTGGGTGTCCCCTGGGCAACGTCCTTGCAGACGGCCAATTCTCTCACACCAGAAGCAACTTGCAGTTTCTCAAGTCGCTCCTGACACGACAAAAAAAAAATCAAGCCTACTGAAGTTATGATAAATCTAAAAACAACTTTATTTAATACCCCGCCACCATCTCTCTCCCCAATGGGGCCTCGGGGCGGCTTACGTGAGGCCAAGCCCAACAGTATATTACAATAAAGTAAAACCAAAACACAACAACAACACAGCAAAATACATACAACATACGAGTACAAAAAAACGATACAGCAAAATCATACACAATAAAATAAAATAACAATGAGCGGGCCGCATGTGCAAGATAAAAACCAAGATACTAAAAATACTAAAATCAGGATGAGAAAGGGATGGAGCAGATTGTTTGTGGGGGAGAAACTCATAAATGAATGGGGTCATAAATATAGACCTTCATTCAGGTGGGGAAATATACTCTGGGGACAAAAACCGTTGAGGGGGAGCAACTGTGTATGATAATATGGCTACTCTCCAAATACATTTCCCTCTTTCTATATCTACTCGCCCGTGAGTATCTCTATCATCTACCTATTTATCCACCAACCCATCTATCTGATCATTTATCCATCCATTCACCAATGCATTGGCATTGATAGGGGATGTGAAAGTGATCCACATGTGGAAAGGTGGGTGCTTTGTTTTTGTCATTCTACATACATTGGGGGTGGCATTTCATTTTGTTGTATGACGTAAAACAGGAATAAACTTATTCTATTCACCTCTGAGGATGCTTGCCATAGATGCAGGCGAAACGTCAGGAGAAATGCCTCTAGAACATGGCCAGATAGCCCGAAAAAACCCACAAGAACTGAGTGATTCCGGCCATGAAAGCCTTCGACAATACATTATTCTATTCTATTCTATTCGAGCTGGGTTCTGTTGGGCTTGCCGGCTGCTCTCCCTTGGTTCTGCAATGGGCTTACTCACCCGTCCTGGTCCTTCTCCACCATCTTGAGCCCCTCCAAGGCCTGCAGGACCCTCCTGGCTACGCTCTTGGAGCCCCGGCTGAAGTGGCTGGGCATCACGCCGTTGCGCTGCCGGCCCCCGTAGATCTTGGTCATGGAGCCCACGCCAGCCCCTCCGCGCAGGTACAGGTGGCGCGCTGTGGAGGCTGCGGGGGAAGGAGGGGGGGGGACCAGTTCAGTGGTGCACCAAGGCCCAGCCAAAGCTGGGTCCAGCCACACAAACACTCAGGGCTCAACGGCCTCAGGATTTGGAGCGATCGTTTGCAGCCCTCCGAATGTAAGACCCACCTCTTCTGGCAGAGGGACCTCCCCAGCTAATGCTGAGTTTGAGATTTGCATGCAATTGCCGCTGTATTTGATCTTCAAACCCTGTTTTGGTGGATGCACTTCATAATAGTGTCTTCTGTATATGTCATATGTTATTTTGAAATAGATTGGCTAAGTTTTGTGCGGCAGCCGTAAAAATAAGGGAGCAGCTTGTGGATGATTTTAGCAGATAAAATTATACTCATTTTATGATCCACAATTCAAAGTGCTGGTTTTGACCTACAAAACCCTATACGTTTCCGGTCCAGTGTATCTGTCCGAACGGATCTCCCTCTACATCCCACCTCGGAGTCTAAGATCCTCTGGGGAGGCCCTGCTCTCGACCCCGCCTCTATCACAAGTGAGATTGGCGGGGACGAGGAGCAGGGCCTTCTCGGTGGTGGCCCCCCACCTGTGGAACTCACTCCCCGGGGAGATTAGATCGGCAACGTCCCTTCTTTCATTTAGGAAAAAGTTGAAAACCTGGATATGGGACCAGGCATTTGGACATTCTGGCAGCTAAAGAAAGACCTGATGACGAGCTGGAACTTGACGAGACGGAATGGATTTACGGAACTCCGAGCGCTGAGCTCAGGATTAGTCTACTATTGTGTTATTGTATTGTTGTGTATTGATGATTTTAATTTTTAATTTGTAACTGTTTAATTTTATATATGTATGTATATGTGACAAAGGCATCGAATTGTGCCTTCCTCTGTAAGCCGCCCTGAGTCCCCCCTTGGGGGTGAGAAGGGCGGGGTAAAAGCGACGGAAATAAATAAATACATAAAAATAGCCACAGATGTTACAGGCGTCACATCGATCGACTCCATACTATGGACTTCTGCTTTTAAGGTTGTGATTTTCTGGTCTTAATGTTAATGCAAAAAAAACCAAAAACCTTCATTTTTCAAGTTTTACAATCCTGGTCTGTGACCGTAATAACAAAACCCATCCAATACATTCAGAGCTATCTGAATCTAAGACACACCCGGAGGCCCATCTCTCCTGGCAGAAGGGCCTTCCAGACAACTCTGAATTGAGGTTTGGATTTGCATTCTAATGCTGCCGTATTTTGGTCTTTGTACCCTGACTTTTGGCGGCCATATTTCATAACGTTGCATTCTGTGTATCTCATTGTGTGTATTTGTAAAAATAAGGTTTCAAAGATTTAAGTTGGGGGATGCTGAGGTTTTAAATGTTGAATGTGTTTGATGGAATTTGATTTTTTTAAAAAACAACAATGCTGTTTAATTCTGCTTCAATATTTATATACGTGTAGGTTTTAAATGATACTGAAATGCTTTTAATGTAGGGCGCCTTAGTCTCCTTGTGGAATGAAAAGTAGGACATAAGTAAACATAATAACAACTTAATGTTGATATGTCTTGACTGTGCCATTAAGAGAGGTGGGTGACAAATAACATTATTATTATTGGGGCATTCTGTGGTTTCCAGGCTATATGTCCATGTAAACATAATAATTTTCTCTCAACCATTTCGCCTGCAGTGCTGCTACAACACGGCCACACAGCCCGGAAACCACACAACACCCCAGTGATCCTGGCTGCGAAAGCTACATTATTAGTATAATTACAATCCCCGTTCCCAGGATGCCCCTCACCTGCTCTGGTGTAGAACCAGTTCTCGTCATACGGGGCCAGCTCCTTGTGCTTGGCCAGCTTGACCGTGTCCACCCATTCCGGCACCTTCAGTTTGCCTGACCTGCAACAAGAAGCAAACAGAAGGGAAGCCCTGACATTTGGCTCCTGCTTCATAGAATCATAGGGTCATCCAGTCCAACCCCCTTCTGTCCTGCAGGAAAAGCACCATCAACACCTCGACCCGACAGATGGCCTTCCAGCCTCTCTTAGAAAGCCTCCATGGAAGGAGCTTCCACCAGCCTCTGGGGCAGAGAGTTCCGCAGTATGAACCATCAAGACCACTAAGATCGTCTGGAGGGGCCCTGCTCTCGGTCCCACCGCCTGCACAAGCACGGCTGGTGGGGACGAGGGACAGGGCCTTCTCGATGGTGGCCCCTCGACTTTGGAACTCCCTGCCATTAGAGATCAGAACTGCCCCCTCCCTCATGACGTTCAGGAAACTAACAAAGACCTGGTTGTGGAACGCGGCATTTGACAACTGATTTAATTCTTTGCCCACATGAAAGGAGGATGATGAATGGGATTGTGATGGTGTCGGACGATTTGGCTCTTTTAACTGGGATGATAATGTTTTAATGTGTATGGTGCTGATATTTTAATCGTGTAATGAAGTGGCATTGTGTTGTTATTGTATATTCTTTGTATGTTAACACATGTTGTGAACCGGTCCGAATCCCTCTTTGAAGGTGAGAGGGTCGGTATATAAAACCTCGAAATAAATAAATAAATAATTGAGTGGGACCCTGACTTCCCTCGATCTGGACACTATTATTGCTCCAGCCTAGGCTCGCATTGATTGGCCTCTCTAGCTGCCGCATCACACTCCTGGCTCACCCTCAGCTTGTGGTCCAGCTGCTAAATGTTTATATTGTTTTATATATGCTGTATTTTTTGATAGGCATCGAATTTGTGCCTTTGTTTGTAAGCCGCCCTGAGTCCCCCCTAGGGGGTGAGAAGGGCGGGGTATAAGTAACTGCAATAAAATAAATAAATAAAATAAAATAATAAATTGTGGTCCACTGAGACTCTCGGGTCCCTTTGACAAATAATGGGATGTCAACCCAGGAGTTGCCTGTCCTGTATCTGTGCAGCAAACCACTGAATTGCTTTCCCCAGAACTGGATCCAGTGTTATTTTAAGTGAGGTCTGGCCAAAGCAGGAGAGCATGGGACTATGGCTTCCCTCAATGCGGACACTAGACTCCTCTGGACACAGCCTAGGACCGCACTGGCCTTTTCACCTGCTGCATGCAGTGCCCTCGTGGATCATGTTCAGCCGTATATCTTACTATAGCCAAACCATGGCTACATTAACCGTCCTCCCCCTAGACCCGAGGCTCCTCTGGATCCAGCCTGCTGCCGCATCATCATCATCCCACTCTTGGCTCACCTTCAGTAGATACCACTCAGCCAAAAATCTGTATCTCCTGAGGTGAACAAATTCTCCAGTATACAACTTTGTAAGTACTCAAATGTGTTGTAACTTATGGTATTTAATGGATATGCTCAACAAATATTTCGTTCCTTTGATGTAGATACCACTGAGCCCAAAAAAACTCTGTATCCCCTGAGGAGAACATTGTTGTAATAACAAGGATGAAGACTTAACTAATTTCTTTGAGTACATTTAAGTATAAGATGTTCTATATGTATGCTACTGGTAGCGAAACATTGATTTATTCATTAATTTCAGTCCACCAGAAGAAGGCCTGAAGTAGGCCGAAACCAGTCGTGGACGGCTGAGCTACAAGCTACTCATAAGAAGATACGACTGTTAAAATTTGCACGATATTGTTTGTTGTCACAGTGAGGTTGAACAGTGCAGCATGTTTATATAATGTTGTTGAATTGTATTGTTGTTTATCTTATATAAGTGGTATTTTTGTTGTATGCACTGCACCCGGACACACCAGCCCCCCATCCCCCCAAATGCAGCCTTGGATCGCCTTGGCCCTGCTGGCTGCCCCACATCCAAGGCCCCGACCACCTGACCCCCCGTGAGGAGGCCCCCCCCTCCGAACAGGAAAGGCGTGCCCCCCTCGGCCCCTGGAGAGAGGCCCCCCCCCCCCCCCGGCCTGAGTGCTGCTTACTTCTTGAGGAAGGCGGCGAGGGCGCGCACGAACTCCTGCTGGTTGACGTCCTTCACGGTGACACCCGGCATCTGAAGAAGGAAGGGAGGGAGGAAGGAGAGAATGAAGGCAAGGGAAAGAAGGAGAGAAGAAAGGCAAAGGAATGAAGGAAGGAAGAAGAGTAGGAAGGAAGGAGAGAAGAAAGAGAAAGTAGGTGAAAGAGAGAAGGGAGAGAAGGAAGGGGAGGAGGAAGGAGAGAAGAGAGGAAGAAGAGAAGAAAGAGAAGGAGGAGGGAGAGAAGGAAGAGAAAGAGAGAAGGAAGGGGAAGGAGAGAAGAAAGGAAAAGGAAGGAGAGAAAAGTAGGAAGGAAGGAAGGAAGGAAGGAAGAAGAGAAGAGTAGGTAGGAAGGAGAAAAGGAAGGGGAAGGAAGGAGAGAAAAGTAGGAAGGAAGGAAGAAGAGAGGAGAGAAGAAAGGAAAAGGAAGGAGAGAAAAGTAGGAAGGAAGGAAGGAAGGAAGGAAGAAGAGAAGAGTAGGTAGGAAGGAGAAAAGGAAGGGGAAGGAAGGAGAGAAAAGTAGGAAGGAAGGAAGAAGAGAAAGGAGAGAAGAAAGGAAAAGGAAGGAGAGAAAAGTAGGAAGGAAGGAAGGAAGGAAGGAAGGAAGGAAGGAAGGAAGGAAGGAGAAAAGGAAGGGGAAGGAAGGAGAGAAAAGTAGGAAGGAAGGAAGAAGAGAAGGAGAGAAGAAAGGAAAAGGAAGGAAGAGAAGGGGAAGGAAGGAAGGGAGGGTAGGATGGAAGGGGAGAAGAAAGGCAAAGGAAGGAAGGAAGGCAGCGCGGTGAGGGCTTCGGCTTCCCCGGGGGTGAGGGGGGGTGTCTTTGCGGCCTTCGCACGAGGCCAGGCCCACCCACACACCCGCCCGGCTCCTCCCCGCTTCCCTCCCTTTTCCCGCCCCTGGCGGCCGGCCTGCCTGCCTCCCATTCCCGGCCTGGCTCACCTCGGCGGCGGCGGCGGCGGCTGCAACGGAGCTTCCTTGCTTCCTCCTTCTTCGGGCCCGGCGGGGGAAAGAAAGCGCACGGGGCCGCGCGCCCGCTACTCCCACGGCCTCCAAGCCTCGCGAGACCCCGCCGGCCAATCAGCGGCTGCGAGGCGAACCTCCCTGCCTATCAGGGCGCGCGACACTAGACACCCGCGGAGGGGGAGCAAGGCTCGGATTCCGGGGCGGGGCCAGAAGCGGCATGGCGGTCGCGCTGCCTCCTGGCGTCACTTCCGGTCTCTTTGCCCGCAGAAGGGCGGAAGTCGGCCAGGGGTCCCCCACGTTCTCCTGTCCGCCGCCGAAGAACTCGGGCTCCAAAGTTCCGCCTCAGGGAGAGACGTGTTTTCCCGCCCGAGAGGCAGCTCGGGTGCAGATGTCACGGGGTCCCGATCGGGTCTGTCCTATAAACGGTTTATGCAACCGCCCACGCTTTGTTTCGGAGGGAGGGAGGGAAGGAAAGATAAAGGGTCTGGAGAACAAGACCTATGAGGAGCGGCTTAAGGAGCTGGGCATGTTTAGCCTGAAGAAGAGAAGGCTGAGAGGAGACATGATAGCCATGTATAAATATGTGAGAGGAAGCCACAGGGAGGAGGAGGGAGCAAGCTTGTTTTCTGCTTCCTTGGAGACTAGGACGCAAGGGAGGAATGGCTTCAAACTACAAGAGAGGAGATTCCATCTGAACATGAGGAAGAACTTCCTGACTGTGAGAGCCGTTCAGCAGTGGAACTCTCTGCCCCGGAGTGAGTGTGGTGGAGGCTCCTTCTTTGGAAGCTTTTAAACAGAGGCTGGATGGCCATCTGTCAGGGGTGATTTGAATGCAATATTCCTGCTTCTTGGCAGAATGGGGTTGGACTGGATGAGCCCAGGAGGTCTCTTCCAACTCTAGGATTCTAGGGTTCTATGACACCCCGCCGTTGCACGTTTTGCTCTTGGTGAAGTCCTTTCGTTAGGGGATTATGAACTCAGGAAGCATGGGGGAGGCTTCCAGAGTCAGGAGTTGTTGGTTGCATGTAAAGGTGACTTTTGCCTTCATTTTTCAAAATACGAACATATACACATATAGGGAATGGGAAAGGGGATTTGGGAACATACATGGAGTTCATAAGGAGAAGGGAAATCATGCAGAGTCCTCTATCAGCCCTTCCCAAAGTCCATTTAAGTTCATAAACGTTTGTGGAAGTTATTAAAAAGTCCATAAGACTTCATAGGAATTTGGCAAAGAGTCCATGGAAGTTCCAAAAAGTTCTTAAAACTTTGAGGAAGATTTGCAAAAGCTGATAAAAGTTTTCAAAAGTTCATAAAAGTTGAAGAAAGTTTAGAAAAGTTTCTCCGAAACTCTCTGAACGTATTCTCCCCTATGAACCATCAAGATTATTAAGATCGTCTGGAGAGGCCCTGCTCTCGGTCCCACCGGCCTCGCAAGCGCGTCTGGTGGGGACGAGGGACAGGGCCTTCTCGGTGGTGGCCCCTCGACTCTGGAACTCTCTCCCTCTGGAGATCAGAACCGCCCCTTCTATCCTGATATTCAGGAAACAGGTAAAGACATGGTTATGGAGACGAGTGAGCCAACACCCTGAGATATGGATGGAGGATGATGAACATCGATTTTAGTGGGACGACTGACCATTGTATTTATTGAATGTAATTGCTGTTTTAATGTTTTAATGTTTTATTGTAATATGAAGTATGATGTTTTATTGACTGTATGTGATATTATGGTTGGAAACCGGTCTGAGTCCCTCAAGAGAGGTGAGAAGGTCGATATACAAAGCTTTTCAATAAATAATAAATAATAATTAAATAAAAGTTCCTGGGAAGTCCATAAAAGTCCATAAGAGCTCCCTAAAGTTCATGGGGAGCCAATGGGAGCCAATGGGAACTCTGAGGGGTCGGAGTCCATTCATAACAAAGGAAAAAGTGCAGATCCAAAATGGCCTGCCAGGAGTCCGGGGGTCCCAAGGGATGATCACAAGAGACTCTCCCAGGGTTGACAGGCTTCTGGGTGCACATGAAATGGAGGCACAACCATCGTTGCAGCGTGGAGCCATGGAAAGAAGCTTGCTGATGATCCCCACATGAAGTTTTGCACAAAAAGGTAAATTCCCAGGGCGTGGCGCAATGGGTTAAAGCACTGAGCTGCTGAGCTTGTTGATCGAAAGGTCGCAGGTTCGATTCCGGGGAGTGGCGTGAGCTTCCGCTGTCAGCCCTAGCTTCTGCCAACCTAGCAGTTCGAAAACATGCAAATGTGAGTAGATCAATAGGTACCGCTCAGGCGGGAAGGTAACGGTGCTCCATGCAGTCATGCCAGTGGCCACATGACCTTGGAGGTGTCTACGGACAACGCCGGCTCTTCGGCTTAGAAATGGAGATGAGCACCAGAGTCCCAGAGTCGGACATGACTGGACTTAATGTCAGGGGACTACCTTTACCTTTACCTTACCCAGGGCGTAGGGGTCCGTAAAGCAGAAAGTGAGATAGCAATTAGTTTTAAATTAGTCTCAGGAAAACATTGGCACTGGTTTGGAGTTGATCGGTTGTCCCGTGGATACAGGAACCCGGTGAGTTCCTGCATCCACGGTTCAAAGGAACGCAGTTTCGGCCTCCCCGGGACACTGTAAGAATATCCAGGGCGAGCCAGCAGTGATCTGCGGCTCAGGAAAGGAGAGGTTCATTCAAGAGAAGGTTTTGAGTCAGTAAAGGGACACAAAGTATCACTTTAGAGAGGAAAAGTTACACTCAAGGATACTTTTATTGGGGGGTTGCTACAATGAAACAGGGTGAGCTCAGTTAGGTAGAAAAGGAAAATCTCTGTGTTAAGGCTGCTGCTGGAGCCACAGTCCCTTTGTCTTCATCAAGTCCAGGTTCTGAGGAACTGCGGAACTCCCTGCTGTGACTCAGATCAGCTTGAAGGCAGGGGCCTGCGAGCTCATCCTCACCACCATTCCTCACAGCCTCGGGCCCCCATGTGGCTCCCATCCAGGGCGCAAGAGCAACCGGTTTCGCAATGGCAGTAGAAATTGAATTTAAACAAACCCAGAAGGAAGGAATGGGCCTGGATTGAGCAGCGCACCTCCAGATGGTTTCCTCCTAGGACAAGGTTCCAGGAAAGAAAACCCAGAGCCCGTCCTGTGATAACACCTTTACGGCACAAAACACATCCACCACATTTGCTTTCAAAGTCCACCGGCTCCTTCCCGGGACAAGAGGGCGAAGGCCCCCCCTTTTCTCCTGCACAACAGATTCCTGCAAACGCCACTCAAAAGCCAGAGTGAGCTTTGCAAGCTGTTGGATGAGCAGCTTTCCATATACGATTCTGCAATGAACAGGACTGCTTTGGGGGGGGTGGGGGGGGGCAAGGAGGGGCCTCAGCCACTTGAACCCCAAGACAGTGCTTAGTTCTGAGGGGCTTGCATCCCATGGTCCCGCCAGAGGCAGGAGGGGGAACAAAGGCGGTTTTGTTCACAGAGCAAAAGCTACCAAAGCATATATTGCTGGAAGGATTCTGCCCCTTTCTTTCTTCCTGACCGAATGTGAAAGAGCCAGGCCTGAGCCTAGGCCGAGATATCCAGGGAAGTCCTGCTCCCATGCTCTAGTCTATTCTGCCTTGGTCAGACCACTTGACCTGGAATCACACTGCGCCCAATCTGGGCACCGCAATTGAGGGGAGACGTTAACTCTAAGCTGGAATACTGTGTCCAGAGGAGGGTGGCTAAAATGATCAAGGGTCTGGGGGAGCGGCTGAAAGAGCTGGGCATGCTTAGCCTGCAGAAGAGAAGGTGGAGAGGAGACATGGGAGGGCCAGGGATCAACAGGGGAGGGGAAGTCCTAGGGAGGAGGGAGCAGGCTTCCTTTCTGCTGCCCTGGGCAGAGACCAGGACGCAATGGAACAATTCTCAACACAACCTGGGGATCACAACCAGACACAGTGAAGACATCTGCCCTTGTGCTATGCTACTCTGCTGCTGAGTACGCATGCCCAGTGTGGAACACATCTCACCACTCTAAAACAGTGGATGTGGCTCTTAATGAGACATGCCGCATTATCACGGGGTGTCTGCGCCCTACACCACTGGAGAAATTACACTGCTTAGCCGGTATTGCACCACCTGACATCCGCCGGGAAGGAGCAGCCAATAGTGAAAGGACCAAGGCAGAGACATCTCCAGCTCATCCCCTGTTTGGGTATCAGCCAGCACGTCAACGACTTAAATCAAGAAATAGTTTTCTTAGATCTACAGAGACACTCGCTGGAACACCCCAGCAAGCGAGAGTCCAAAAGTGGCAGGCCCAAACCCAGCACCTCAATCCATGGGTGATACCAGATGAGAGACTCCCCCCTGGGCACTCAGAAGACTGGGCGACTTGGAAGGCGCTGAACAGACTGCGCTCTGGCACCACGAGATGCAGAGCCAATCTTAAGAAATGGGGCTACACAAGTGGAATCCACGACATGCGAGTGTGGAGAAGAGCAAACCACTGACCACCTGCTGCAATGCAACCTGAGCCCTGCCACATGCACAAGGGAGGACCTTCTTGCGGCAACACCAGAGGCACTCCAAGTGGCCAGATACTGGTCAAAGGACATTTAACCAACTACCAAATTTGCAAAATCTGTGTTTTTTTTTCTTTTTCTTTTTAATCTGTGTGTTTGTTTTGCTCTGTTAGAATTGTAATACAATGGTATGGTTGCTGATGACACGATAAATAAATAAATAAGCCATTGCAAACTACAAGAAAGGAACGAGGTTCCACCTGAACACGAGGAAGAACTTCCAGACAGTGTGTGTGTGTAAGAGAGAGAGCTGTTCAGCAGTGGAACACCCTCTCTCTCTCTCTCTCTCTGCCCCTGAGGGAGTGTGGTGGAGGGATGCTCCTTCTTTGGAGGCTTTGAAGCATTGGTTGGGTGGCCACCTGTTAGGAGGACTTTGAATGCAATATTCCTGCTTCTTGGCAGAATGGGGTTGGACTGGATGATGTCCCACCGGGCCTCTTCCATCTCTAGGATTCTAGGATTCTATTTGTGTGCAGGCAGCTGGGAAAGCAAAGCAGTGCGGGAGAGCAGGGCCCCAATCCCTCCCGGCTGGCGCTACTTCTTTGTCGGCCAGGCCCCTTTGGGAGGCTCTGCTGCGTTCGCTGCTTTTGCCATCTTATGAAACATGTAGGACTGCATCCTCTGATCTGCCAGGGGCTTCAGGTATGGGAACGCTTTCTCAATGGTTGCCATACAAGTCGCAAATACGGAATTGTTATTTTCCTTCAGTTTCCGCATTTCATCTTCCATAGCTTTGGACTTCTGATTAAATCCTTCCTCCAGAAGTTTCTTTAGTTCCTGGAAAAGGTAAGGAGCCCACAAGGCAGGTCAGGAGGATGGACAGCAGAACACCCCAGGGTGGGACTGGACCAGAAGGGTGATGACGGTCCTCAAGCGGAGGGAGACCTCCCGCCTGCAAACCCTCAATCTTTTGTGCACAAACCACGCCAGAAATACCGAGACAGCCAGAAGCTGAACTGCCCTTGAAAGCAAGTGCCCTTCTAAGCCTTACAGCTGCACGTCAGGCCGAGAAGGCAAGGGCACTCTGGGAAGCGGGCAAGCAGCACGTTCTGGCTCAGGCCGAAGGGAGGGGACCACCACAAGCCGACTAGAGTTCAACTTAACCGCGGTTCTTGGAAGAAGCCAATTGGAGTTTGTCCTTACCTGGAGCTTAATCTGCAGGATGCGTTCGGTCTCCTCCCTCATCCACTCCTTTTCTTCCCCCACCTTCTGCCTCAGCAGCCGGATCTGCTCCTCATGGCTGCGCTCCTGATCCTTCGTCAGCAGCTTCTTCCGGGCCAACTCCTGCTCTACAAGCTCTTGCTGCCGTTGCGCGGCTTCAGCCTGCACTCTCTGGGCTGCCGTCAGGGAGAGAAAGAGCCTTAGACTCCAGAGAGGCGAGGTGAGGCAACGCAAGGGGTGGCCTGGAGGGAGGGGCTCCTCAGCCCTGGAACCCAGAACGTGGACCCCCTGGACATACTCCTTGGGTTAGGCATATGTCAAACCACCCTTTTAACTTGCCCACATCTTGGGGGAGCGTTTGACATGTAGCATTTAGCCATGGCAAAGCATGCGGCCATTCTGTCAGAGTGTGACAGAAGCTTTGAAGCTTAGAAGAATGGACACTTTGAGACTTCAGTAAAAGCAAACATTTAGCTTTACTGAGTAGAGCAAATATACAGCACACATTCACATTTACATCCAACCAAAGACAGAAACAAGACAAAAGACACACCGAAGTAAGAAGGACGAACAAAACCTTATCTCTGGATCCTCCCTACGTGTTCCAGACACTCAGGGTCACATCTTCACAGTTCATTAGAGCCTTGACTGATTAACCATTTCAGTGTCAATTCACTCTTCGGTAATACAATCAGGTTACATTCACAGGCATTACACAAAATTACATTTAAGCATTCACATTACATTAATCTTACACTAACAGTCCATACCTTCCACCTCCTTCTCCTTCTCGCTCAGGGCCATGTCCGCCAGCAAGACAGAATTGGCCTCCGTCTCCTTGGACTTCAGGAACCCCTCAAGCGCCTTGTCTGCCTGGGAAGGGAACAACCGAGGCCAGTTTAAGCCAAGGTAGGATGGATTCCTGAGTGGCCACCAGGATCCCACTTCCTTACGGATTTCCAAAGGATCCAATGGCGTTTCCTACCTGGTCCCCTTTGTCTGGCAGCAAGCGGTACTTCTCCACCATTTGGCGCTGCTCCTCCAGGAACTGCTGGTAGCCTCCGGGGACCGAGAAGCGTCCCGCGCGGACCCCGCTCTCCAGGTCCTGCGAGAGGTTCTCCAGGGCAGCCATGCAGCGGTCAAAGGACACGGCCTCGTTCCTCTGGCGGAATTCCTCCTTCTTCCGGTTCAGCTCATGCTGCCCAAACAACACAAAGGGCTCACGGCTATGGAAACTCCACACAGCGGACGGCAACCCCACTCCACCCCCCAATACAGCAATTTATAGATCAAGAAAGCATACTTCAGCAAAGGCCCTGTGGCCATGCACAGTATCCTATGCGCCTGATAGACCACGAGGGAGAGCACGTACCGTGAGTTCATCCTGGAACTTCTTAATGTTGGCCCCAAAGGCGCGTGCCATGAACGCCCCGGCAGCCTCTCTCTCGCACTCGGCGTGCGTCCACAGCAGCTCCTCCACGGATCCTGTGGGCAGCACCACCCGCCTCTGCATCTCCTCCTCGTAACGGGAGAGGGCTTCGCGCACGGCGGCTGCGTTCTCGATCTCAGCCAGCGCCAGGAACGCGTTCTCCAGGCAGGGCACCTCCCCGCTGTTGATGGCGCCCACGTAGGCCTTTGCCAGGTTTGCCAGCACTGAAAGGGGAAGAGGAGGAGGAAGAAGGAAAGGTCTGGTGAGGCATCGATGGAGGGTGGGATGGGAAGGGCTTGGCAGAGACACCTGCGATGCAAAGGAGTGCGCTTTCCTCCAAACACAATGCAGGTCTGTGCGCAAAGGGATCTAATATGAAAGGTGCCACCAGGGTCCTGTCACTTATTGATACTCCAGACCAACACACCCTCCGTCTCTAAATTCTACCCCGTGACTGTTCACATCCCTAGCCTCTCCCAGTCTCCTTTTGGAATAAACATAAACATTATCAGCATCTTCACGAAGGCAGCCCAGGCTGAGCGCTGTGTGGCCCTAAAGATTCACTTTAAGTACTGGGACCTGGTCTTCCTCTCCCAGGCACAGCGCAGCATGGAGGCGGCCTCTTCCAATGGCAACTGGCCAGCATGGTGGCAGCTTGAAAGGCATCAGCATGAGTCCCGACCCCCCCCCCCCCCAGCATCCCTTAAGAACGGTCAGCAGGGCAGAGCTATTTGCTGCAGCCAGAAAGGCTTCTCCCTGACCCAATGCAGACAGAGCCTGGCTTACTGGCTCCTGTCACGGCCTGGCCCCCGGGGACCGTCTTGTGCTTGGAGGTCTCCCAGACGTGGTCACAGAAACGGGTCATGGATTCCAGGAACTCCTCCTCCAGATCTTCCTCCTCCAGCTCCTCCAGACGCTGCAACTTCTTCCTGCTTGCTGGGCGGTCGAAAGTGAAGCACTTCCGGGAAGGAAAGAACTTGCGGATGCACAGCCGGGGCAGGTTGCTCCTCCTGATCTGATCTGTGTCACCTGCGGAGGAAGGACCGGCATTTTGGTGGTTTCCCCTTATTGATAAATTCCAGAAACTTTTCCTGGGATCCAACCCGACCCCCAGATGCCTTTTGCCTGGAAGACCATTCAGGTCTCTGTTCTGACTCACCTTTGATGGTGATGCAAGAAGAATGTTTCTGAACATGCACAGAGCACCCTGCTCCCTTGAGGGTGTGTTCCCTCACTTGACCCTTTCACCTCTTCATCCAGTGACACCCCCCATTCCAAGGCCCCATCAGACCCCACTGCCGTCACCTTCGCCCCAGACGTCACCATTCTGCAGTTTCAGGGCGTGCTCCAGGTAGCTGTCCTCACTGACCGGGCGCCCGTTGATCTGCAGAACGAGTGTGAAGTCCCTCACGGCCCAAATGAAAGCCGGGAAGTAGCGGACGAACTCTGAGGAATCCTCGTCCTCTTGGCTTTGGTCCCTGGAAGAGGTTATTCTGATCTTTTGGGTCAGCTCAGAAACGTAGCTGGGCACAGCTAAGGAAAAGGGCTCCCAGGGCCAAGGCAGTCTGGTGTGCTTACTTGTGGCTGGTTGGCGGCAAAGGAATGGCTCCCAAGTTTGGGCCGAGAGCCATTTCCTGTCAGAAGGCAACCCGCACATTCACCTCAAGCAAGGGCTCACATTCGAAGGAATGCTTGTTGCTCGTTTCCTGTTTGGCATGTTTTTATGCCCTTCGTCCCTTTCTTCTTCTGAGTCACAGGCACACTAACTTTGAGGCATATACTTGTATACTTTAAGGTGTACAAGGAGCTACGTATACTTTATACAAGTATACTTCACATGTATATTTTACTTGTGTACTTTAAGGTCACGTGCCTGAAGTCCATAAGGATATTTTCTTTGTTCTCGAAAAAGAACACAGAGCTCAATCCAAAATGGAAGCTGCTTCAGGGTTCAGATTGTTTCCATGTAAACTGTTACTTCTTCTTTCACTCGCCTTAAGACGTGTAGACCTGTGTAACTAGGTACACAAGTCTTTTGATCTTTGCAGCTTATTTCAATTAGTGGTTATGAAGCGGAAAGGAGGGTGGCGACTGTACTTTCTCCACCGTTCTCTTTTCCCACCCGCTCTGCTGTTATTCCGCAAGAGGCTTGACAACTTCAGATTCTCTCTGGGTAACCTCAACAGGTTGATTATAAGCAAAACACCCGTATTTTGTCGCATAATAGTCACATTCTCCCTTTTTCCGAAGAGGTCTCTGAAGCTCCACTTGATGGCGGGGAGCCCCCGCCAACGATTGGCCTGCACTGCAGCGGAGAGTTCCGCAGTTCCTGGTTGTCACAATTGGAAGAAACTGATGAAATGTGCCCCAGCAGGCAGCTCAATAATAAGACTGCACTCAGCCTTTCATTGCTTTCCCTTCTCCCTACTTTGTAACAAAGCCCTAATAAAGGTACTTGAGATTTGCAACTTTAAAACTTTCCCGCTTGATACTTTGTGTCCTTTCCTTGCCTGAACCTTCTCTTCGCATGAAGTAAACCTTTTTCCAGGCTCCGGAGAGCCGTGAGCCTGCTGGGGGCGCCTACTGGCACCCCCAGGCCCCCGGATCTGCGTTCGTCAAAATCGCGGATACCGAAACTGCCATTTTGGACCCCCGTAACCACTAAAACAGTAAAATGGCGGATTGACGCTGTTCTAATTTTATATTTTTCTGCTATTAATTCTAAGACTAACTGCCATCTCGCTTTCCTCATTTTGGACTCCTGCGCCCGGGGAATAATCATTTTGTTTAAAGTATTATTATTTGACAGCAAACAGCTGATTGTCAAAACTCCGCCGGCTCGGCGAAAGCAGCCTGTTTTTCCCTTGCTACCGCTCGTTCTTGCTCGGCCCCGCCATCAGGGGCTTGCTGTGGGCTCACATAGGAAGCCCCGGAGAAGCGGCCAGGCGGGAACCCCGGCCCCAGCGCGGGAGATCTAGTTCGCCAATGGCCGGGCAATGGACTCTGTTACTACCCAACCCAGCGCCCATCACTGGACTTCTGCCTTTTCTTATTGACTCTCTGCTTCATGAACTGAACTGTTTACCATATCCCTAGCCACGAACTTTCTGGTGATGCTTGCCTTGAAATGCAAGCAGCCTCCGTTTCCACGCGCCTTTGCCAGAGGACTATGAGATCTCCAGTTTGCGTTATAATAAAGATCAAATATTGTAATAAATTTTCCTGGGATGGGGATGGGGTTTTCCCCTTATGAAATGTGTGTAAGGAGATATTGTATGAAATGTAATATGTTCCCCACCCTGCCTTTCCTGCCGACCCTTGCCCCATAAAGATGTGACCTGAAGATTACTGTATTGCCTTGGGGAGAGGCTCCTTTGTTCTCCCCAAACCCTCCCTGATTGACTCATCAGCATGGAACAATACTGTTGATTCCCAACCCTAGCCCTCGGAGCATGTCCAGCGAGGGGAGGGGGTCAACAGAAACCTGGAAGAAAGGACTGATTAAATCACACAAAGACGACGTTGATCCACCTTTTGAGGTCCGTTGTCTAGCCAAATATTCTTTTCCCCAAAGCCATTCCAAACAGGAAAACTTTTGTTTGCCAGGATCACACCTTGCCGGCCTGAGACAAAGGCTTGCTGGCAACTCCTAATCCCATCATTTCCCCCCTCCATTGTTCACGGCCGTACCGCCTCCTCTCTCCTGATTTGTCCATCTTGCGAGGCGAGCGGAGGGCGCTCATTGGCCCCCTAGAGGCGAAGAAACGCGCTGATTGGTCCAGAGCAGGGGCGGGCCGCCCAGCCTCCTCCCAGCTGTTCCAGCATCAGCCAATCAGCGTGAAGCCGGCCGGCAAGGGGCGGGCGGGAATTTTGAAAGTTTTCCTTTGTATTTTTACTATAAATATGTCTGTATTCTTTGTACTGGTATGCTTGCGGTGGAATGATCCCTGCAATGCATCTGATCTCAGCTGAATCACAAATAAACTTCGGTTGCTGGAAACTTCTTCCACCTTGATGAGGCATTATTAATTGTAATATTTTGATATTGGCTTCGCTGGCCTCACCAGGGCCCTTTTTTGGCGCAGTCCTCGGGTTCCTCTCTCTTGAGGAAACCCCACTAAAAGCAGCTCGATATCACACTCTTCTCTCCTTCCTCCTTCCTCCAAGACCTTAAGGCAGTTTACAAAACCGTGACTGGATGGCTGCGTGCCAGCAGGTTGAGGGTGAATCCAGCAAGGACGGACATCCTCTGGCTGGGTTGTCCAGCTGCCTACCCTGGATGGCGAGGCGCTACGCCCGTCATTGTTGGTCAAGAGTCTGGGAGTCCTTTTGGACCCTCTGCTGACGATGGAGGCCCAGGTCTCTGCTGTGAGCAGAACCGCCTTCTTTCACCTGCGGCAGGCTAGATGGCTGGCCCCCTCCCTGTCCAGGGACGACCTCGCTACGGTGATCCAGACCACGGTCATCTCAAGACTGGACTACTGTAACGCCCTCTACATTGGCCTTCCTCTGTCGGTGATCCGGAAGCTCAAGTTGGTACAAAACGCAGCTGCTTCGGCTTCTTGCGGGAATTCCGATGAGATGCCACATCACCCCAATCTTACTACAGCTGCATTGGTTACCCATTGAGCACCGGATCACTTTCAAAGGGATGGTACTCATCTTTAAGGCCTTGCGTGGTCTGGGGCCGATGTACCTGAGGGACTGCCTCACCCCCTCCCAACCTCAGAGATTGTTCTGAGGACCAAGATCTATTGGAAATTCCCAGCGTCAAGACCTTGCGTCTAACAGCAACCAGGCGCAGAGCCTTCACAGCAGTGGCACCATCACTCTGGAATACTCTGCCACCTGAAGTCCATGACTTGTGGGACTTACCAGCTTTCCGCAGGGCATGTCAGACATATCTGTTTCGACAGGCCTTTGACTGACATTGTTGTTTTAAATTGTTTTTAAATTGTGTTAGATTTTAGCCATTCTTGTAAGCCACTCCGAGCCCCAGGGGAGTGGCGGCATATAAGTTTGAATTATAAATAAAAAATAAATAAATAAAACCTGAAATGACTTATTGATAGATATGATAGCACTTGGGTGGCTTTTAGGAACTTTAAATTTTAGGATTTTATATTTATATGCTAATATATAGATTTTAATCTTTTCAGCACTGTCGAATACCTGGTTTTTATGTTTTGCTTGTATTCTTGCATTTTAGAAATGCTATTAGACACCATGGGCCATTGAGTGGAAAAGACAGGATGAGAATTGCCAAAACAAACAAACAAATAAGTAAATTGAGGTATCTGGAATTCAAATCTTCCCTCTTTCCTCCAAAGATCCCCATTCCAGAGTTTACAAACTGCCTCAGGACCTCAGGAGGAGGAGGAGGAGGAAGGAGAGAGGAGAGAAGAGTGGAGCTCGAGAACTCCCTTTTGAAGTTTTTACACTGGTTGTTTGAGGCTGGATTTCCCCTCCTCCCCTTTGGGAAGTAATATGTATGGATAGGTAGATAAATAGGTAGAATATGTTTCCCATGATGTAATAGTTGTACCCTTCATTTGATGAAAAAAAAGGTGGGGGGGAGAGTGTGACTATTATGTGGTGAAACACAGTACCTTGCATTTCCTGGCTGCACCTCAGCCATGGGCCTGGTTGTGTGGGAAGGGGCTGTCTTGCCCAGGTAGCCTTTTTTTTTCACTCCTTGCCTATGGAAGAGGCCTCGGTGACCCCAATCCACCCCCCAGGGCATCCCCCCAGGGCATCCTTCCTGACCAATGTCCAGTGGGCGCCCCTCCCAGCCAGGATCCCAAAGGGAACCTGGTTGTCCCTCCATACATTTCACCCCCCCCCCCACACACACACACACTCATTTGCCCCCCAGGGAAGGATACTGGAGCTGATCCAGGGCGTTCTGGTCAATGGTGCCCATGCTGTTGTAGACCAAGGTGCTGCTCAGCAGGATGGCCAGCGCAAAGATCCAAGCGTCGTTCTGCGTGTTGCCCTGGAAGAGAAGAAGCAGGTCTCTCTGAGCCCCACTCCTGCCCTGCTCACACTATAGGGGCCCCTCCCTCAGCCCATTCAATGCAATGGAGAGAAGGGGGTGGATGCACACCATGGCCTGCCTTTGTAAGGTTTGGCTTGGCAAGCGCCTTCTGCTACCATTCTGTGCCTTGGTCCCACAAACACACAGAGTGGGCTCAGGTCTCACATGAAGCAGACCCATGAGACAGACCCCGGGCCACAAGCAGAGAAGCCCCCTCTTCAAAATCCCGCTGCCATGGACTCACCTTGTTTGCGTCCCCCAGGCCGTCCGTGTCCAGCAGCACCAGGGTGTGGTCACTCCGGTGGGGATGGGGGCGGCACCACATCCAGATGCCCTTGGTGTTGCCCTGCACCGTGGACCCCAGGGAGAAGCCTGGAATGGAGGGGACACCACGGCCAGTGAGGAGGGGGCCAGGCTGGGCCCTGCCCCCTAGGACATCAATGAAGCCTGCTCCAGAGTTGATATGGCATCTGCCCCAAGGCCCGGCTCCACAGACCCACCAGTGGATCAGATCAGAGGCCATGGCCCCTTCCGGGACAGTACCTGGCCCTGGATCGTGCCCTTGCCCCCCACCGCCCCCCTCCATTCGCTCACCCTTCCGCTGGCCCGCCAGGCGGTTCATAAGGTAGGACTTCCCGGTCCTGTAGGGCCCCACGATGGCCACCACCACCACCGGCTTCCGGATGCGCTGCAGGACTGCCAGGGCCTCCTCTTGCAGCACCAGCCTCCCGTCCGGGCGGTTCTCGATGAGGCAGAGCGGACGGGCCATCAAGGCCTCCCCAGGTGTAGCCATTCTGGAAGGGAACCTGGAAAGGGGGGGGAGGGCAGCCCCTTGGGGCCCCAGCAAGGTCAGTTCAGGCTGCTTGGGGAATAATAATAATAATAATAATAATAATAATAATAATAATAAACCTTTATTTATACCCCGCTAACATCTCCCGAAGGACTCGGTGCGGCTTACAAGAGGCCGAGGCCCAACACATCAATAAAACAACATAACAAATACAACAATAAATTAAAAAAGCAATAAGCATTAAAACAATAGCAATAAATATACAATAACACCACTACGCATTTAAAACTAAGGCCAGGCCAAATGTAATGATTAAAAATTTAAAAAATGCTGATGATTACGTGAAAATTATGAAGAAAATTAAGTCACTGGAGAAAC